TGCAAAAAGCAGCTCAAAAAGCAGCCGCATACCAATTTGGTTTTCACGGGAAACTCACGTGGATCTGTCGTTTGTGAATGCCTGGCACAACACATTCGGTTGTAGACAAGCACGATAAAACAGCGAGTCAGCTGGAATTTCGGCGGGTCTCCTGTGCAAACCAAACTGGTATGCAGATGGATGTATTTGTCGAATATCGTGCTGTTCAGTTTCAAGTGGAACTCAGGGGCTGCGCCTACCTGATGAGTACCAATAAACCAGTCGTGGGCTGTCGTAGAGCCTTTAGCAACCTTATGGGTATTGTGCTTCATCTACGTCTGATGGGTTTCTTATCAGCCAACCGCTCTCGAAGGAAGACCACTGTCAATGGGAAATTCCGGTGTCCCCAAAGGTGCTAGTTCAGGAAGAATGAATTAAACTGACCTCATTTAAAAGCCATTTATTTATCTTCCTTTACATTGTGGTTCTTTCCACACTACATGCAACTAGCCATCAAGATGCTCTGCTAATTTGTCGACCCTAGATACACAAATCCCTCGGCTGAATTTAGGGGAATGTGACAACTAACTGATCATCGTCTTATGGATGACAGATGGATGGTTTAGCAGCAAAAAGCCTCCATATGGCCGAGACAACAACTAATTTGAGTATTTGAAGGAAAAATCGACCTCCCCGGAGTGACCTCATTTGCTAGAGCACATGCCTCCGAAAAAATGAGCAGACTAGTCATAGCTCTTCGAAGGGAATTGAGCTCATTCAGATTGTTTGAGGCCATAGTTGCTTCAGTCGTAAAGTTAAGAGCTCTCTGAATTATCATCTGTTCAAAACGCGGATAATCCTTGAAGTAGTACTTACCTGAAATTAATGAAGGATTAGTCAACATATCCAAATCCGTGTGCACACTAACAGACTTCTCTGCTTGCTCATCTGTTCGCGTACTGCTGTTTGTCATTGAGGTTACTATGGTAGCTGATTGATGTTTCTCTTTCTGTTCATCCTTGTGTGTTTCCACAAGAAAGTTTGCACTATTTTTCTTCGAAGCACTGTTTATTTGCTGAGTAAGTTCACGAATCTTCTGCTTCGCATTTGGATTGTTCATTGTCAAACGTCGCACGTTTTTCTCCGGGTGAAAATAGATTATGTAGAGTTTTGGAATGAAAAGGCAGCTGAGCATTACACTGGCACTGAGGCTGATGGAGATGCACAAGGTGGTGATTTGAATCTGTACGCAGGAAGTAAATCGGGATGATTAGTAGTTCAGAATTCAACGTATTGAAGAAAAACGAAAAGGGGCTTGAATTCGCAGTCGGATGAGTGGGTCGCCCTAAGGTAAAATCCGGTAGATAAATAGCCATTCTAAGGGGGTAATACGGGAAAACCATTAGATCCACATGAATACTGGCAGGATCGACCGCACTCTTTCGGAAGGGACTTCCTACGTTCTGAACAGGTAGAGTGGTGGAGGGAGAGTCTATAGCAAAACATAGGTCTCGTCGTTGATCTCCAAAAGTAGTTCGCTATACTTCCACGATATGCGAAAAAATTCGGTTTCCGTGTGAATTAGTGATGATGAGAATACCTCTACCCATCTTATCTGAGCGTCCCGATGGATCACATCATGGATGAAAAGCTATACTGCGCTTCCAGGCTTTTCGGCTCACAATGAATCTAATTCCAGAATGAATTCTCACTTGAAATAAACTATTGAGTGAAAGTGATAGATGTCTTAATTTTCTTACGAGTAGATCAGAAATATTGTACGGAATGTTGCAGTAAAGTCGGTGAACCAGACAGTTCAAGCTACTGGAACATTTTGCTTAACTGTGGCAGATACACTCACTTCATCTGGGAAGAGTCAGTTGCTTGTTGTCACTGAGGTTGGATCAGTCGCGTTTCAACGATCCCTCACAAAACACTGTCACCTTATTAGGAGAGAACAAACGACCCGCTTAAAGTTGGGGCACTTATCGCAGTCAATAATCGGATTTGCATCACTACTTCTTTTTGGTGCAAATGAGCGTTGCCCACTACATTAAGTTTGATGGGATTACGGTGGAATCACACAAGTTTAATTTACCTAAGCTTATTACTAGATTCCCTTCTTGCTAGACTCTTCGGCGCATCAACGGGATTTAACGAAAATATCGCACGGTTGGACAAAAACATCCACAAGTGATGAGGGTAGAAGCATAGAGACACTTAAAAAGACAACTTCTAAATGACAATATGGCTTACAATTGCATCAGGCCTGGAACAGCTTACCAGACTAATCTATGTGATATGGGCCGATCACTTTTACGTTCGCCACAGAAAGTAGTTTCTTCAGATCCAATGCCATCAACATTATTTATCCAAGAAAATCAATTCTCCAAAATGCAGCACCCGAGTGTGAGGTCCCTCAAGGGTCCAAAGGCGTTACCCCTGGTTTGCAAGGTTTACTTTACGGCAAGCTTGCCAATCTCTACCAGCGTTTTCGATTAGTGTCCAAAGCAGCCTTCAAATACGCTGGCATCAGACGAATTTATGAAGCGGATTTGAAAGTATTAGGCGGTAGTAGTATTTTAGGCCTTAGAATATTTTCTGTCGTGTATGATAGAATATCCGTCGACTAGTCAGTGTACTCGAAAATAAGTCGAGTCAGTAATGCTAATGTTGTGATAAAGTGAGGAGAGTGAGTTCGGCACAACTTATTCCTGGTTGGTGAACACAGCGTACGCATTGTTTCCATGGCCTGTGCGTTATCAGGCATGCAGCCATCCTTACTTGGACAAACGAAATTCCAAACTCGTCCGTGGAGGCCAACGCAGTTAGGCATCCCGGGTTGCTGCCCCTCTTTGACAGAGCGAGGTCTTCAGCTTTTGTGTAGATGCGTTTATTAGTGCACCGTTGATGATGGCCATAATACAAATCAGAAGGTATATGCACTAATAAAGGCTTTTAGTATAGTTGACAATGGTGAGATGTCACACGTAGAAAAATAAATGAAATGCGAAATGTGAGCAAGTCAAAAGAGGAACTTATCGTCTGTGAGAGTGCCTTGGTGAAAGTCCGGACGGCGGGAACGTGTCTGCTCCGCAGTGTGGCTGCTACATGTGTACCATAGTTCGGTTTCCCTATATGTAGGTCCGTTTGCGTGTACGTGGGCACGTCAGCACATGAGTAGTTGCTTAGCTCATTAGACGGCACAGACAATCGATGTCCGATGAGTCACCTTAATGTGACGTAGCTTGTGGTTATGGGAAAAGACAAGTCTCGTGATCCAGTGAGCGACTGTGAGCGGAACAGTCAAGTACGTGGGTGACGGGGTAGCTACACGTTCAGTTCGGATGGCCAAAGCAGATGCCTAAAGCGCACCCGATAGGCATTCACGAGGGCAAGCGCACACCCACGCACGTGAAAGTATGGAGGTACTATATCACCACACACAAGTAGTGACGCAAATATCTGAAGAGATCATCTGAAAGATTGAACCAAAATTTCTCCGTCAAATGGTGAACACCCTTGAGTATGACCTATTCAGATATCACGGCATCGGTGTCAAAAGTTGTCGGAAGGAAGTGCCTATCTCAACTTCCTGCTCTCCTGGTGTGTTTGGATAACGTTCAAGTCGCGAAAAAATCACCGATAACTTAGAGAAGCCAACATAATTTTATTTCGTCATGCCTTGAAAAGTAAACCACATAAACTCCATCAGTTAACCCAGAATAACAAACCACATGTCTGAGGGGAGCTAGTAGAATCCAAGTCATGTGAGAGATTCTCTGACTAACCTCATGGTTGTTCATCGTCGCATAGTACATCGGCAGAAATGCAAGCCAGATTATACATGTCGTGTACATCGCGAAGCCAATAAACTTCGATTCGTTGAAGTTCTCCGGTATTTGTCTAGTCTTGATGGCGTACGCCGTACAAACAATGATCAAAACCACATTGTAAGCCAACGAGATGAGAAAACTCTTGTCCTTCATTGCACAACGCCGTACAAGATAGTTTGGTTGATTTGCCCTGGGGGCATCGATCCGTGTATCGGGGGCATCAAATCCGAACCAGATCGCTGATAAAGCCAGCTGTAGTGTGATAAGTGCTCCGGCAATGACTAACTGTGAACGGGGTGAGATATACACGGGTCGTCTGGTGGTCCGCTTAGCTGCATCAAAAATTCGAGCGATTCGGTTCGTCTTGGTCAACAGGGCTGCGTACATCATGGCGAAACCGAGACCAATCATAATTCGCTGCAATGTGCACGTGAGCACCGATGGAGTGGCAAGTAGTATGAATGGGGCAGAATAAGATACCAGACAGCCTGAGAGTTGGAGATAAGCCAGTTCACGACTCGTGGCACGTACAATTGGCGTTTCACTGTACACTCGCCAAGTGACAATGACTCCAATGGTGATACATATACCAACGCTGCTGAAAGTCATCGGAACAATTGCAAACCACGTGTCTATGTCGATATAGTGAATCTGAATTTAAAAGAGAAGGCAGAAATCTTTGTTACAGTTTTAATAGGGACATTAATAACTAGTAGACGATGATGAACATTATTATGTAATAAATTTCTGCAGGAGTGCATCAGTGAAGATGGTGAAAACCGTGCGGGATCCAGGCACATCAAGGTGATTGTTTGGACACTCAAAGACGATTTTGGTAAATGCCCTTACAGTGAACCACCAAAAGATGTCGTATTCATCTCACAAAGGTTTTTTTTGCCGATAAGTTTCATTTATAGATGTGAATTCATCTTCCCAGATCACTGTGCTAAATATCCCAGCAGTTAAATACTGTGAAATTAGACCGTTTACATTTTCCAAGATCCGGTGTTGTTGGACCCCTCAAGCAAACATGTTATTCGACGGATTGTAGATAATTTTCTGTGAGATATGATCTCGTCTATGTATAATGCTCTGTTTCAACGCCAGTTACCCTTGTACGATGGTCCCAGTATCACATTTGCGTTTGGGCAGTGAACCCGAAATAGGCACATATGGTAACGAAGGATACTCCTGGGAGAAAATGCCAGTTACGGTCGGAAGCCTGAAATTTCTAGTTGACGTCAAACACACTTCTTTTGGATTGGAATGAAGTATGGGAAAACTCTTCCGTAGGCTCAGATGGAAGTTCGAATAATGACTGTACTAGTCATACTGAAACGAAATTCACACCGCTGATGGGACTTTGCCTGTCTTTCTCCTTATCGCTGCGCGGTCGACTGAGTTGACCAAGCGTTCAGAAAAGGGGCTTGAGAGCGGCCTTAGGTCATCTGACCTATGAATTTTCACTCGGATTTGTCAACGGAGCGATGACATAATCTGAGCTGGTTATGAGCCGAAGACCTCAAAACATTACACATGATTCAACTGATGGATGGCGTTTACACACATCTGTACCTTCTACTAGTGACACCATAGCTCGTTTTTAGGGATGAGAGAATGGATTTACTTTTCTACGTTGGCATACGCATTAGTGATAGTTCGTTTTCGTGGCAGTTTTAGTGGAGGCAACCTGCTGAAGCAGGGCTTATTTCCGGAAGTCAGCTACCCTGAGAATAACAGGACAAGTGCATTTAGACTAGACCTATTCGAAACACTACTCTAGAACGTGTCCCGCAAAAAGTCCTGTCGGAAAAACAGCAGTTTGATTTTCAAATTGTTAAAGATGACGAGGTGAGGAAGTAAATCGGCCCCATTGAGTCCATTCAGTAATCTTCACTGATTGACTGGTTTTGGACTGGGTCTCGTGTTAAAACGGTGCCATATTCCGACTTGTGTGAGGGCGGAAGAGGTGAAACCACCTGCATGTGGACACGTTTTGCAGCACGGAATTTGAAGGGGCCATACAAACAGAGTTAAATATGCCCAGCGAACGAGTAGCAGATAACAAAGAGTGAATTAAAACGTCCGATACACCGTTTGAGCCGATTAATTAGCAACCAACAGGAATGCTCGATATCTGGACATGAATCAAGACTACAGGTTTCATAAGAGGACGTGAGAAACGCTAACTAGAAGTTCGCCAGATTTCTAAAGTGGCCGATGTTTTGATCGATTAATTAGACTCACTGTTGAATGGACCACCTTGCACTTACAGTATATTTATTGTTTGTTGGTCGATCCTCAAGACAGTGGCAAAAAAGTAGTTGATCTCATCTTAAAATGTCAAAAAATTAGTGCTCTGCCAAGGAAAAATGAAAACATGTTGCTGTTCTTTCAGGTATAAACTAGGTAGTTTGTTTGGCTTCCAAAGGGAAGGCAGATGATGAGTAGGCAAACCTATGTCAGACGCTTGCCGCTGACTATAGATCTTGGGCAGTAGCGAACGTTCACATCACCGAAACAGATTCAGTCTCCACAACCAGAAATTCAAACAGAAATCCGGGTATAAGGTAGTACGGGATAGTACTTGTTAATGGGGTTAATGAGAGTGCATCCACCCACATATTAAGCACGCACACGCCAGATCGTCCGCAATAATTTTCTGTTCGATAACCGCCCGGTACTGCGATTGGTTCATGTACAGTAGTCATTGGTGATTGATCGGGTGGCTGTTGATCTGTTCGCCGAGCTTGGATAGTGATTGCAAGCGTTTCGTCACCATTCGAGGAGACATCTTCAATGCACCGGGGCTACCAATATTCCAACACATTACCAACATTCGTCATTGGATCATTGATTACTTTTTCACTGGTTGCGTCTGTTCACGATAGTCATCTAACTAAGGGACCGAAGGCTCTATGAGTGAAGAGTGGTATACTACTTACAAAACCTAACAAAGAGGTGGGAACGGAACGTCTAGCTTAGATAGATAATGTAAAACTGAGTGCACTTCATAATTTGACAAAGACCGAAGGGCGAAAGGCAAAATACAAAACCCGGGCAATCCAGCAACAGTTGACAAACTGCCTGAAACGCCTGGGGAATGAAGTTCCACTTTGCGTAATCTTATTCCAACCTCTCAAATCTGCCGGTACCATTATCATAAAAGACCTGTCCCAGAGAGACCTATTTTGGTATTGTATAATTCCTCATATCACACAACTACCCAATGATTGGTGGGAATTTTGGAAACTCTTGTGATACTGTGCAGCCGCTAAACGACGTTGCTTTTAATTCCGAATCCGAGGGATTCTTTGAAGTATACTCACTTTTTTTGCCAATTTCCCACCCATGAAGACAATAAATTTTATCAGTGAATACTGTCTCACTCACTGTCTTCGTAAATGAACTAATTTTATGCTGTACATTAAGCGTACACTTGAAATTTGACTCCATATTTTACCGACAAATCGATGGAGTTGTCATGGGCTTTTCTATTGGTCCCCTGTTGATGGACATTTTCATGGGTAAACCGGACCAACTGAATAGGAAGATTGGACGTACGCAGTTTTATTGACAATACACATGTGATATTTTTATGCTTGTATAAGAAACTCAGAAATATGCTGAACAATTTTAACCAAGCCTATCCCACAATTCAGTTTGAAATAGCCAGATGATCCCAGGGAGCATTTCAGAGATCTGTCCACAGGTATGCCCACCTGTACAAAACAGTACACAAACTTTTATGGCTTTGTATCACTCTGATTTATGGCCGAGACTATAGCTGGGCTTCCTGTCCAACCTTCTGTCACGACTGTTGCAGAGAAGCCAGTCTACATGAGTCTACCCTAAAAAGATGATCTGCTGGCAGACACGGTCAACCACTGTCTGTTGCAAATCATACAGCGCATGTTCCCGCCTGCAACTCTGCGTTCTTCGTTTACAACCAACAGATTACTCAACTTAAACCTCAGTCTGAATACGGATACTTATTCTTCTTCCTGCTGTTGTTCAGCGGCGTACGTTGGGCGCTTGATGGGTCAGCTTACTACGATGATAAGTTAGCGTCCATCCTGTCGCAACATCACTAGAATCACTAGATCCGACCTCAGAGCACATGATTGGCCACGTAATGAAGCCAAACAGGGCATTTTACTTCATCTACCGGGTACCCAAGAGATTGTCAGTGTTGACCCAACGGCATTGTCTGACGGAGCCATTGCAATACGATTAAGAAGGCCGATAATATAGTGTCAAAAAAGGATTCGTATGAGCTCCGAGACTGTCCTGGCCATGTGACACAAATAGATTGACCCGGTCACTCAACGGCCATCTGAAATACCTGGCATCATCCAATCAGATGCTTGGATATTTCCGCTGGAACTTGTGGCATGAGGCCCACTGATCTGTTTTAGACGTTGACGTTGTAGGTGTTCGAGATGACACTAGAGTGGCATCAGCTGAGAGAGGGAAACCGTAGGAGGGTTATTAAAACTGACCACAATCGGTAGTTGCTGTGCTCGTAATTAAATGAGAATCCACTGATGCAGAGTTCTGGGTTGATTCAGCAACACCAATCACAATGAAATCAGTCGATTCATGGAGAATGCGGAAACAATGTAGGCATAGCGTAAATCGTTACATTCAGGATAGATGTGTCAGGAGAATGTTGTATGGGTTCACACTTTGCAGTCACTATCGCTATGCCTAGAGATATTCAGGATAACCATTCACCAAAATGCAGTTTTGAAATCCGACATTCCTTTGTGTTGGTGAAACAAACCTCACGGTTCTTTCAGCCAAACACAGGTTTCGCTTATGTGGCACCGATTATACCGAACGAATACGCTCACTCATTGGTACCGCTTCAAGTAATGAAATAGGCAGAAAACGAGAGTGCGATTTCTCCAGACCGTCAATGGCTCGCTTGACGCGGCATCTTGTTATTAATTTCTTCAACGGATTGACAACAAATTTTATTTTTATCAAATATACTTGGTTTTTAGGACAAAACCTCTGCTTGATTCACACAGATGGATTTTCCTTCAGTGAAAAAGAATTCCAAAAACTAAATAAATTGCGTTCGTCTCACGGAACCAGATGAAACTGGTTGGGTCAAACCAAAAATGTATATAGAATCTGCTTTTCTCAGCAACTTGTCTGCTACCACCCACAATTTTCAAGGTGCAATTAACCGGGAACCAGCGACTGTCAGCTGGAACATGTTTGTGTGCGGGAACTGGTGGGAAAACGTTCCATTTTAGTTGGTGCCTCAGTCTGCATTGAAACAGCACGGGGCAACATTGCGGTAAATTTCCGCATAAAACGGATAGCGAGACAAATCACACAGGTCAGACACAATAGAAATTTTAGCCAAATGATAGTGCAAACAGAATAAATGATTGAAGGCGAAATTTGGTAAAAGAATTCGGGTCAGGAATAGACTAAAAAATGAGAACCTGTTTACAGAAATTCCGAAAAAGGTACAGCAAATGACTTGTTTGAATAATTAATAACTTTTTCGCCAGCAACCTTAAACAGTTGCGATCGAGATATGCGTTTCGCTTTGTGAAGTCATCTTATTAGAGATGAAACAGAAAACGGCTTTTTTTTGGTGATTTCGTCCTGTAAGTGAAGCCAATCTATGCTGAAAAGCCGAGAAGAACTGTACAGCTGTTTCATCCTTATTGGGAAGCATCAGCAGTGCGCATCTCACGAAACTCCGAAGAGTCTCGAATCCCCGACCTCCCGGCTAGTAGTTTGAACACTTTACCGTTCGGCCACGAATGGCTGATCAGCCATTGCTCCTAGAGAGAAGCAAAATGTGACCTCTTTCGAAAACCACCAGAGTGGAACTGACCACTCTGTATTGGTTTTGTTGCACTGAACGTTCAAATATCGATTAAAAATATTTGAATAGGTAAGGATATTACTGTGTTTTGCCTAAAAATATACAAGTAAATCTACGTGGAGCTTCGTGACATACATATTGTTAGTGATTCTCATTAAGGGTGAAGCAGTTGCATGATGCCTCTCAAATTCTCAACACAATTTGCCTTCACTGCCAACTTTGAATTTTGCTCTGTTGAACTTAACAACCTGACTCAGACCTCTGTAATACGGCCGTTATGGGGGAAAAATCTTAGCAGCTTCAGTATTTTGTCTCAAACTGTAATCTAAGGTACCTACTGGGATCGATTTTATCCTTCATGTCATTAAACGGACTATTTAGAATCCCAAAGAAACATTGAAGGCTTCGGGAGACCTATCGTTATGTCATCCGACAGTTGGAGCTTTGGCCACAAAATCTATTAGAGACCATACCGAGTAAGCTTCCTCGGGGTAATTCCTCAAAATGCACTTTGGTTGAAGAGCACTCGCAAATGGTTTGCCAATGGTATTCATTGGAGGATTTATTATCACGCCAATGTGATAAATGGCTGTTGTTCCCTTGAAGTAAGTTGTTTCATTTACCTGACCCACATCGACTGCATCCCGCACAAATTTATCCTCCTTTTGTTACGAATGAACAGGTTTGATCACCTGATGTGAAGGCAATCGGTGCAGACCCATTCTCTACAGAACAGTAGAAACTAGTTTTACTATCCTTCGTGAAGGTCAGTTACCGGCTGCTTGTTTGAAGTTGGCCTGGGCGTCAGCCATTTCAGTCATCTGCACAATGTGAATAATTCTATTGAGCGGCCTCATGGTGCTGACGTCATTGGAGCCAAGAGTGAGTCTGGAACTCACCGACTAACGCGGTTGTATCCAACTAAGTCACATTTACAAAAATGCGTGCTATGATGCATTACTTAAAAAATATTTGCTTTCTACTCCAAGCAAGTATCCCCAATAAAGCATACTTGAGCGTGTCTCCATGCATGCACGCACTATTCTTTGAGTTTGTGTCCGTGCGTTTATGAAATTGTGTGTGTGTGCGCGCGAAGAAGTCATACTCGAACTATCAGATGAATGTCAGCACCTAATACTTATTTAAGCCACAGTAGTATCGGTGAGTTAATTAAGTTTTGTTTTGCACATGAAACATGACCCTCCGGGTAGAGGGAACTTTTGTCCGCTTATACGCGCATGTGTGTAGGCATGTGCGTGCGTACGTCCGGATATCACTTCCAAGGAGACGTCGATTAATTCTTCTGGCAAAACGAATTATGCTTTTTGACCTTGTTCACAAGCTCATCTAACTCATCCGTGGTTGCCGGTGTTGCTTCATCCACTGGTCTAATGTAATGCGTGTTGGATTATCCAATTTAGTTAACCCGAGACTCTACCTAGAGGTAGAGTAGAAACATAATTAACGCCACCCTCAGTTTTCTGTCTGGTTTCCTCACTTGAACAAAAATTAGTGAAAACTTTCGTCTAGCAATTCTAAGTCGTATACAGTCACACCAGAGAGGCTGGGTAGCTTGAAAGATTTTCCAAAGCCTGGACCGAATAAAGGCCGATTTACACGTACCTTTTCACTTCCAGCATCAGAGAGCTGAGTCGTTCATTGAAGTGTATCGAATAACGCCAATTCGTTCCAAAGCCACTACTCAAAACGCATTCATACTGGCTACCTATTGAAGTATTTCGGGCACGATACTTTGTTAATCTGACAGCTACTCAGACCACTTGCCACCCCTTTTCGCTAAACTGTTTCAAACACACAAAATGATTGACTGTTCATGAAAGCATCCAGGAATTCAAACACAACTTGGTTAGAGGTGTCAAAGGGTTTTTGTGACCTCCAAAGATTGAAGGCTGGCATACAGCTGCTTGCTGACCACAACGCGATGCGTAAGCTTGCCTCTATGCAACTACTTTGAAACGGTGACCATATATTCACCTGATTACGATTTCCATTGGGTTTTTGTGAATTTACTTCTTCTCATCCCTGCAGGACTTGGCCTTTCAAAGTAATGGTTACCCGCCGTGGGTTTCCTCATCATTGTCAATACTCTGTGTACTCATTACATGGTCCGACATCTACATTTGAAAACTATATTCTGATATAGGTTTCACTACTGAGGAACGATAAACCATGTTCATTTGGAGCTTAGAATTTCAGAGCAGCTATGAACTATTGGATTACTAAACATGGGCTGTTTGCCAGTTTTCATGGATTGTGACCTAATGTATAAAATCTTCTAAGCAAATTGACTGTACAGGTTCGGCAAACAATCGGTGGATTTACTGCTGGGCAATAGTTCGCTTTTTCCACAAGAGCTTCGTCAGGCCAAGTGGGTAAGTTACTAAGCTGATCGAGTTATAAAGCATTCAGGGAACCAATCCGTGGGATTTCTTTTGACTAGTCGGCTTGCTCAGTGCTGGGAGTCCGTTTAAATTTCCTGTTTGTTGGTTAGTGGGGATGAATCCTGATTTTGCGGCCATGTTTTTCCGGTCTAGAACACCTTAGTGGATTTTGAGAAATACACTCACTTGCAAATCAATTTGGTTCTCATGAGAGACTCAACTGAATCTCTCGTTCATAATATTCTCGAAAAAAGTCCAATTGGGTTCAGGTAGAACATAAAGTTGACGGAAACTCGGGGACAGCGCCTACCTGATGAACCCCAAGAAGGGCGAAACCGGTCGCGGGCTGTCAAAGAGGTTTCAGCAACTTTGTGAGTAGTTACATTAGTGGATTTTTCACCAAACCTCTCTGAAACGATGATCGGTCCCAAACAATTTCCAGTTAATTTAGCTTCTCCTGTGATTCTACTATATTAAATGCTATTTTTGCCAAATGACTTCCAACTAACTCCTTCGCATAAGTGCACTTTTAAACTTCTGCTGAATCTTTGCATAAAATTCACGTTTCACCGAAGCTTTTTCATTTATACTCAGGTCTGAGTTATTAAGTCGCATGGAAATGAATGAAGACTCGCAACTTGTAATACACTTCTTAAAACAGCCTTACCAAGGACAAATTCATGCAGACGATTCAGATGGTGCGAAATTTTCAGTGAGAAACTTCCTTTTTCTGTTCAAGTAAACTCGGCCATAAGAATTATAAAGTTTTGGACAACCAGGTCATTTATACGCAAGTGAGGAGCAAGTAAACAAAAAATGTTACACGTACGGACGTTAGAAGGAGCCAGCTTCGACAAATCCAAACGGGAAATTTCGTTGCTATCCTTAGGTATGTGGTATAGATTAGTTGGATCATTCCCACTTCTCGAAGCACAAGAACTTCGTCTTGCTTCATGATTTAATTTGCACTCTAATTCTTTCGCGCACTGCGTACTTACTTCCAGTTCTACACAAGTTGTGCGATTCTTCGAAGGTCCATAATGTTGTGGACAAGTTTCACAAGTGGTCACATTGACTACGCGTTGGTTTTCTGCACACGGCTCACATGACCAACAACATTGTTGTTTTTTATCCAGCCGGCGAACCTCGGCAAACCTGTAGGTGGAAAATGCAAATAAGCGAAAGATTACCCAGGGAAATTCTGTCTATGATCCTACAGAAGTGATAAGGTTCATGTACTAGTTTAATTGGAATCCAGTTCAGAGGTTAAGACCTTTTCGCATGAACTTTTCGATGGAAGATCAGCTGGTACTCGTTCGATGTTACACATGGAGAAGCCGCGGATTGTCAGTCAGCCACCTTAGATGAGTGTGTTCTCCTAACTGATTAAAGCGGTTAGATTAAACGACCAGGCACATAGGATATTTGCAACCGAACTGTTTAGATGTAGGATTGGGATGGCATACAATAGACTAAATTTTGGTGTCCTAAAGGAGTAATTTCATGATTGAATAAAACAAGATGTTCTGATTTACCAGGTTACTACGTCGTTAGACACAGATTGCATCTACGGAGGTCAAACTGTATGAAAACAATATGTATGGGTATAGCTTCCGCAAGATAAAGCTTACAAAGACACCCGTTGCCTTTTTAATAACTTGACCAATGTACAAAAAGTTTCTGAACACGGCAGACTTTGGAGAATAGGATTACGATTGCTCGAGTTGTTTTGTGCTGCGCTTTTCGATTCCGTAACCCAGGTGTCAGACTGTTTTGCCACATGCAATCAAATTAGTAGATATGGTTAAGTTTGGTAGCCGAAATGCACGGGATCATTAGTTAACGTGGTGGAAAGATGCCGCGTTACTTCCTGCGTTTTTAATTGAGCCATCTTATAAGTCCATTTGACAAGTGCTTTTGCTACGTTGTGCAGTACCTAGCCTTCTTCCTGATGCCATGACTGATGTCCATGACTGGTAGCGGACAGCAACCGTCACACAACCTCTCACAGAAGTAGTCACACCGTGTTATATCTTGGATGGGAGAACGTCATAATCTACCTAAGAGAGCATTTACGAGAGCATGTTTTCATCCAGTTGCGAATATTTCCATTCCCATATGTGTTTTCTCAAGATCATTCATGGTAACGACCCCACGGTAAACCTCTCTGCTAAACATCATGTCTAAAATGCATTCTGTTCATTTTCTTCCGCTCCCACTGTAGGCGTTAAGTGACTGTAAGCACTACTCAGTAGTTAGTAGACTTTATGCATCTGATCGCAATACGTACGTACTACAAAAATGTGCCTAGTATAACTTTTGTAGATAACAAATTCTCGGATGCTTTCTCCTAAATTCTGCTCCACACAACTCGTCTACTGACGTGACGCCAAGACAACGAATGTCTACTCGACATGTATCCAATCAAAATTAGGGCGCAAGTGAGACATCTGGGTCAACCTGATGGGCAAAATGGGATGGTCTAGTCATTGCGTTGCATTGGATTGCAATCAACCATTCTTGACCGAGGAGAAGGATCCCGCCGGATAGAGTGAAAGGTTTACTTGTCCGATCACTTCAATATCTACCTGTGCTGTAGTTGAAAGACAGTGAGGTTCTATCAGAATGAATTTGTGGGTATTCCGCGATTTCTATTGATTTGCTTCAGTGTGACTAGTTTTATTTAGCAAAAGACCTCATCTACGATGCCAGAGTGGATCACACAATAACTCGTTGTTGTGGAAAAGGTTCCTGCAGGCTCCCGTAAGTTCCTGTAGGTTAATTTCAAATAGACCGAGGAAAATCTTCAGTGAAAAATTCAAATTTAATCAACAATGCAAATAAATACATGGAATGTAGAACAGATTATCCAGAATATTCCTTGGAACAGTAAAATGAGAAAAGTGTCACTCCGATATCTTTTCGCCAGGCAAAAATAAATACGACGTTTTAAAATCAACGTTATTCAATACCGTCTGAGTCATAATACAATTCAGTATTAGAAACAGCTAATTTTTTACCATAAACTAACGCAGGATGTGTGACAGGATATATGACTACCTGAATATGTGAGTTGTAGTCTTAGTGCGAGTAACACTCAAACACAAAGTTCAGGCTGGCGAATTCACTCACCAATGATGCTTTTGGTGTCTAGAAAACTCGCTCAGAGAGAATCTGGTAAGTTGGTTTACACTCTGTAGATAGGCGCACAGTCCTCCTAAAATGGAATTACTGCCAGTCGGTTCAGACAGCAACTCTTTCGATTTTGGGGAAGAATACAAACATGTGCGCATGTATGCGGAAATGTTCCACCATAAAATCACCCCACTCCACTGAAGACTCTTGTATTTTCAAAGTGTTTACTATGGGAAACTTTATCGACACTCAATAAATAGGCTTTCGTCTTGTATGAACTTTTTTTTGTGGTGGAGAAAAATAACAACGCATCTGTGAACAGTCCACTCGTTGGCAAGTAGCATCGAAAAGTTTGCAACTTGTAATGTGACAGTGCGTATACAATATGCATGCATGCATAGCTTAGGTTAAGAACAGGTTTTGAAACAGCCAGGTTTTGGTACCAGCCTGAAATCAATAGGATATGGTCTCGCAACCTGCTTCATTCGATGAGTTAGCCTCAAAATTAGTGGAAACATCTTGCAAAGAATGACATTAGGACAGGAATTCCATGTCTTGAGCAAACAAGAGAATACTTCACTAATCCGCACAATCATCCTGTCCATGATGTGGGGAACCTAACACGTTTTGAGAACCAAAGCTTTTCCGCAAGGTTGCGACATTAGACTGGAAGCCACTGTTTCATGGGTCATGTGAGGGCACATCATGTGTGGTCGCTTAAAGTCGAAAATGTGACTATGTTAGCATTATCTGATGGACAATAATGCCCATTACATTGAAAAAACGAGATAAAATTCTTTACTGAGAAGCCGATCCGTTCTCATGGCCAAAATTCTCTCCTCTGGCAGTACTGCGGCTATAGCTTAAGGATGGGTCCATCGCCAGATAAATAGAGACTGAAAAAAACTGTTTGCCACATACAACAAAATGGATAGATAAACTCCTCAACTGTTGACACTTTCAATCTTCTTCATCCTATCCCTGATATCGTCTGAGAAACACTTTTCAGCATACCAGTTATACACCAGTAACCACTGTGGCCGTACTGCTTTCAAAAATGACGCTCACGGCAAGAATGAGGTGCTAATGTATTTTGTACTTCCATGGGGGGTTGAATGTATCAAAAATCTTCCATTTCAGTCGATTCGACGGGTCGCTCCAAGTCCCCATGCCGTTCATGTTCTTGACAAATCTACCTCAACAAAAATATTCCAAACCTGAGAACATTCTAAGCCTGAGAACATCACAAACGAAAGATTCAGCTGGGTTCCAGGTGAGTCTCTCGAAAAACCAAATTAGTTTGCAAATGAGTTTATATTCGCTAATTGCGTGGAATTTGGTTTCAAGTAGAACATAAGGTTGACGGAAACCCGGGGACTGCGCCTACCTGATGAGCCCCCACCCCCAAAAAAATGGCGAAAACGGTGGTGGGCTGTTGACGGATTTCCAGCAACCTCATGAGTAGTACATTAGGAAGATATTGTAAACCTGTTGAGATCTCAACAAGTACTTGCGACTTTCACGGTTTTGGAATAAGTGGTTGAACCTAATCACGGGGCTTGGTAAGGTATCTTCTTCGCTCCGGTGAGACTCATGGAATAAAACATTTACGCATGAAATTCCGGGCTCACTCTGTAAAGATGATTTCAAACGTCCAGTAGGGGAGCATCTCTCCAGTCCTTACAAGCTTCAAACGGCAGAGATTCGCACACCGGTGAAATTTCCATCATTACCCAGACGACTGAGTCATTCTTACGGAGAAAACCACAATATCGACATATCTACCAGTAAACAGTCTCGAAATTCAGCGGTTACTGAGAAATGCATATTTGGAATGCCTCGGGATTTCCACGACAAATCCAAGCATTTGATGAAAGAAAGAACGAACATTCTACTTGTCGTGTGGCGAGAAAGTCCTTTAGAGAAGAACCAGTTTTCTGTGTGGATTAGATGTGCATCATACTTGCACCATACTTGTTATTATGGTGACTAAGTTAGCGTGGTGACCTCTGTGGGACTCTGCAACCGCCTAAACTGGCTGCGCTACACCGAGATGTTTTTTATCAATTCTTATCTCCCACCTAGCGGGCACCTTGTAGGGACACTCACTCGACTTTTGCAAAATCAGTCCAGTCTCTCAGTAATTCACTTTTTCCCTGCTTATGGCTAGTCTTTTCTTTCCTAGAGTTTGATTACTGTGGAGAGTTCTTTGAGAGATAAGTAAAATTGAATCCAAAAGGAAGCATCCCTAAACTACTGGGATTTAGGTGCATTTATCTATTAGCACACGAGTGGGGTTGACCTGTAAGAGCTGAATAAGTGCACAGGTTACTGTGGTGCCTGTCTCGCCAATAAAGTAATATATCTGGAGTGATTTCCTGCCACAACTAAGTCGCCATCATTAAGTCTTCTTTGCAGTTATTTGGAAAGCCTCATTCTGACAACTTTGGGCCGCTTTTAATGCATCACTCTTAGAAGACCTTGTTTTGGATAAAGAGGCTTCGTTTCTTTCTTTGCTTGTGACAAATACGCACCTACCTCTGGGTAAAATTTAATATTTTTGATGGCACTTTGCCCATGGAAACTGGTTTGCGATATGCAATGTGCTGCTATGGATGATCCCCAATTCAAACTTGATGGATTTGAGAAGTAGAATTCGTAACAATCTATTTATATTTCGAGAAATGAACGAATGTTTTACAAATTTTTAAATGTAACGCCAAATTCAATTTGAAGTAGAGGCTTGTTCGATTATTCTTTTTTTTTTCAGGTGCAACATATTTGTACGGCGCTGTTTACATTTCATCTACTATGTTCGATGTTGACTCTGATATTCCCTAGGCAATAACCATTGATTTGTAGTTATGACACTTCCAATTTCACCAACTTCTATTTTGACCAGATATAGGACTGTAAACAACTAGTCTGAAGACACCTCATAATAAATCCCTGTGGATTTCCGTGCCAGAAAAGAGATTGTAGCTGCTCCGCAAATTTACCTTGGAGCTGATCAACCACA